CCAGAGGCCTGCAGCCCTAGTGCTAGAAAAACACCGGAAACAGAACAAAGATGTGGTACAATGTGCTAAGGAGCCTGCGGGTGTAAAGTTCTACTTGGGGGCAACTCCAGCCAAGGAGTTTATATTTTACCATCTCAAAAGAATGGGAAACCATTAGAGCAAAAAGAGTGAATGATCATATTCAGGGGTTAGCAAGAGCCCTCTGTGGCACAGTACGAAATGACTTGAAGAGGAAAAACTGGAACCAAGAATTCTAGTTGGGAAGGTTAAGGGGAACTTAAATAAGACTGTATTGTAGTCACTGGAAGAAGGAGAATCAATAAGATTTCAGATTAGAGTTGGCAATACCCAGAGATCAGTATTTCTTTTCAAAAACTTTAAAAAAATCACAATTCACAATAAGAAATCCATTTAACCATCACAATCCCATGTACACGCTTATATATGTGTGAACATGTGTGTCCACAAACACACACATGCATATATACACACAGATTTTTATGAAACAGTAAGATGGTACTGTAGGCCCAAGGCACTGCCATTCTCATTTTCCATTATAGGAAAATGAAAGTGACAAGAGGTGTTCTCAGATAGCTGATCTGTCCTACATGGATGCTTCCTTTGCAACACTATTAAGGTTGTTGTTGACTTGAAGCACCTTGATGCTGTCTGCATTACTTAAGTAATGATTTATCATTTGATGCAACTTGCTGTTCTTTTGTAGTCTCCCTGGTTGATTACACTGCATGGCTTAATTAGGTATTCATGAGCATATATCACAGCCAAGCTTTTAGCAAAGCTCCTTATCTGTGCGACTGATTTCTGCATGGTATTTCTGGAGTCAATCTGTCGCTACTCTTAAAATTAAATGAAAGAGGCTGCAATATCCAACTGTTAGCTTTGCTTTATAGATTATTCTGTAAAATGCCTGAAGCCCTGGAACACAGTTTTTTTAAAGAGCATTACAATGTGATGTTGATTTTGGGCTTGATGACCCTACCCTGCAGTTAGCCACTTGGCCTGCTCTTTGTGATTTCACAAGCAAGGAGAAGTGGATGCTTTTTAGCCCGGAATGAATGTGTCTATGGGTTCTGTTCCACAATTTCCAACAAGAGTTTCCTGGGAAACTCAATTACCAAGCACTTGCACAAATATTATTTTATTAGTTAACATTAGTAATGTGCCAGGCACTGTGCTGAACATGCGATATGCATGATCTCTGAGTCTTCAAAGCAGACCTGTACGTACTGTTCATTTTACAGAATCTGAAACTGATGCTTGGAAGAGTAAAGAAACCTGCCGAGGCCACGAAAGCCACTAAGGGGTGAGCCATGATTCAAATCAGGTTTGTCTGTCTTTAGAAGCCAAGCTCTTAACCAGTGGATTATAATCTCATCTGCTCCTCTAAATATATTCTTTTGAGGCTTAGTGATACCAATTGATTTACTTGACTACCAGCAAATGAGTGGTAACACTAAGACTTGAACCCAAGCCATCAATGCTGAATCAGTGCTCCTCCCCCACTACTCCATAACGTAATACCCCTAACACTGCCCTGGGTAGCAGTATTCATACCAGACAAGCACACAGGAGGAAAAAAGAAGAGAGAAAAAGTTACTTGAGGGTCATAGTATAGTGGGAAACGGACTCTCTCACTCTTTCTCTCCCAGTTTAACATTTAAAGTCAAAAGGAAAACAGAGAAAGAATGCACAGTTAGATATGATAGGGGTAAAACAGTGAAACTAAGTATTACTTTAGCCTAATTTAAGGCAGCTGTATAATCTACATGCTAGGAGACAGAGAAACAGTTCAAATGACAGAAAGGAGGTAGTATATGGATTAAACAAGAACACGTGTTTAAATATTTAAAGACCATTACAATATTGACATAGAAAAGCCGATAATAAAAATGGAAATAAAGTTAATATATCTTTCCTTTAATGAGACCAGAATAAGGAAATGCATAAATAGAAATTCTTAGTATTGGAAGCTCTAGAATGCAATCCCTCAATGAGAGAAGAAATTCCATGAATTTGTCCACCATGGTTATAAAAGCGCATATTTACATAAGACAGATTTTACAATCCACTCATGCACAGGTCTAGAAAATAAATCGATAACTTAAGTCAACTGTTTTTAAAGAGCTAATAAAAATCCTTCACTAAAAACGATTATGAATATCAAAGCCCAATGAAGTCTTGCATGAACACTAAAAATTATTAACGTCCAAAAAATAGGTTTCTGAAAGCAAGTTAAGTAAAGCAATTTATCCCAACCTCTTCTTCCTCAACAAGTTATTATTTCAGCTCTGTGGTCATGTACTTTTGTTCTTGGACCTTTGTTTCTTTCTCTGAGAACGTACTCAAGAATTTAAATAATTACTAGACTTTATAGAGCACTAAATCAATAAAATGTTTTTTAAAAAAACCAATTTATTTTTCAACAAATATTTGTAAATGGCAGCTGAAAGTAAGGTTATTTTTATTTAAACACTGCCACGGACCAGAGTCCCAATCTGAGAGGCAGTTTAAATGGAACACTACTCTTCAAAAGCAAAATTCATTATGATAAATGTGCCAAGTGAAATTAGAAATCTACTAATGCTAATTGGATACATTCTGAATGTATTAAATTTCCAAAGATATTTTTATAAACCCTTTGCAATTTCCTATTAACACCCATGCATGGCTGCACTTTGGATGTACCCACAATTTGACACAATATAGGTTATTACGCTTAATAACTTTCGATCTCTCGGGGTGATTGCATAGTCTAAAGAAATGAGAAAAGCCTACAGTGTGAAAACACTACTTCTGAAAGGAAGGGAAAATGATATATGAAAAATCTTTAAGAGTACTAATAGAGGAAACATGGACTTTTTTTTTTTTTCAAATATAAGAATTATAGAGCTCAATGGTCACCATTAAAACCTAATATACAAAAAATTGGAAACTGTCAGCCTATGGAAACTATAAAAAAAGTCATAAATGGTTTTACAAAGAAGTTCAAGGAGGGTTATCAATCAATTAATGACATTTCCATAGAGGTAAGTGAGCTAGTCTGGGGCATTTGGGCAACACCCCCCTCCCCCAACTGGTAAGATCAATGGCACTGAGACAAGCTGCCCCAGTTCACACTGGGTCTCCTGGCGCGTCTGTCAGAAGCAGAGCACAGGGCTTCATGGAGGAAGGGTCCCACAAGTAAGAACACCAATGTTCTTCTTTTTTCTTTTTAAGATTTTATTTATTTATTTAAGAGAGAGTGTGAGCACAAGTGGGTGTGAGGTGGTGGCAGGGGAGGAGGAGGAAGTACACTCCCTGCTCAGCGTGGAGCCCAAAGCAGGACAGGGCTCAATCCCAGGACCCTGAGATCACAACCCGAGCTGAAAGCAAGAGTGGGATACAACCGACAGAGCCACCCAGGTGCTCTACAACACCAATGTTCTTACAAATCAAACTGACACAGAACAGAAAGAAAATACCCACAGGTTTTGGCTATATGGATATAAACACATAGATTGCTGACAGAAAGGGAAAGGAAGGCCTCTACTTCCCTGCCTTAATGCTACCAAATGCTACACAATATATTCGAGTCTCTAACATCACTGAGACTTCCCTGGTTTAAAAGAACCTCCACAGCATCACACAATGAGGACACTGTTCTTATTCTAATGTCACTGACCTAGGGACCTCTGAAATGATAAACAAGGATACAGTGTACATTACAACCATGAAAATAAAATGTTATGGCATTTTTTACAAGACAAGAAAGCAACCTCATAGCCTCATTCCTAGAATATCCTGGTGAGGGGTGGTGTCCGACCACAAAGCAGGGTGGGGTTAGGAATGTTTGGGTATAAATGTATGCTGGACTGGTCTTCCCAGCTTCCAATCACCCATTCCCCATTTCTTCTCCTTCCTCATTCAGGGGGGTTTATGAGGACACCTGCTTCACTATTGAGCTGTTCTTCCCATTTCACAAAAATACCTTCAGCCTGTTTAGCCTGTGTCTGAAGTGTGTTTAGTCTTCACAGAGGAGATGCTCAAGGCCAAAGATAACATACATTGCCTTCTGCTCCACCTCTTAAAAAACACTTGTTGGGCAAGGAGGTAGGTAACAAGCCACATTTCAATTTTCTTAATGCAGTGAGGACTCTCCCTATTGCACAAGACACAGTATGTTTCCAATGCAAAACATCTATCTTTGCACGTCTGCCCAATAGCAGCTCAGTTAAAACCAGGCCCATCAGATTGCCACAGTTTCCTTAACTGCTCAGTTCCTGTCACGCTACAGATAGCAGAAAAGCACTTAACAGCAGCCGCAAGGCAATTTTCCAGTAAGACTTATTAATCTTTATACAGTCATCCTCATGTAGCCATCAAAGTGAACTTAATGACAAATCAGTTAAAATAAATTACTCTTAGGAACTTGTAAGGATCAAATAAAAAGCAAACCATATGTGATATCTCTTCAGTCCTCCCATGACGGCACAGAACTGTCACCATCTGTGTTGTTTATTCTATTTTGCCCAGCCTGTGTGCCCTCTCGATCCACTCTCTGCCCTTCTCTGTCCTGTGCCGGCCCCAGGAGGCTGACCTCTGTGGACCTCACGAATGCTGCATCAGTTTTGACCTTGCTATCTGGCTTCTAGCTGAGCTCAACCAATGGGAGGGACAGAAGAGCTCAGAGGCTGAAGGGAAGAAATGGCAGGGAGCTATCGTCCACCTTCCTCAGTGCTCACCTCGCCAAGTGGCCCGGACCCTCCTTCAGCCCCAGCTCTCCACAGCTCTGGTGTCACTGCACCCTACTTATCCTTCGGACCCAGGTGTGCTCATAGCTTCCAGCTGTTGCTAACCCCTGGGTGCTTCACCAGCCCTTGCCTGCATCCTCTAGAAACAATCCTGTAATTACACACTCTTTAGCCTAAACACCTTTTGTTGGCCAAGACCCTGGCGGACGTCTGGTCAGCAACCAGGGGCTCCAAGCTGGGATCACTTACATGGACTGTGTGGACCAGATCAGCCACCAGACACTGCTTCAGCTTCTCATCGCTGCTGGTCCCATGAAGCACCAGATCAGGCATGTACGTGGGGCAATAACCTGCCAGAAGTGAGCGGCCAAAGTTTCTTACATTTGGGTTGCTGATGCTCTGAGACCTAAAACAACATTGGTCCATTAGAATACACAATTAAAAATGTACTCCCTTCTTGCATCACAACTGGAACAAAGACTCTAGTAACACAGGTAAGAAAAAACAGATTCAGGGAGGTCCATTTCACCAGTCCTCCAGGAAGTGGATCGTCGACGTGGGAAAAGGAAGGGAGCTGGAAGAGAAAAAAAATTTTTTTTTTGGTTGGAGGGGTAGGAAAAACAGTATTCTGATGGCTGGTTATGAGTTTGTTCTCGAAGTTCATATCAACCATCTACCAGGCAGTCTGTGTCAAGCGAGTGAAGAAAGAGAAAGTCTACTGAGGGGGGAAAGTTGCCAAAAACCTGGCTTTAGGAACTCGACACATCTGCACAGGGTGGTGCCCACGACAGTGCAGAAGAACAGAAGAAACCTCTAATTATTGCGTGCAGTCATCACAGACCAAATAATCAACCTGATGGAGTGTTAAGGAAGAGGTGTTGTTTCCCAACCACTTCTTGCCGCTCTGATCTGCAGGAGAGAAGCCACATGGTGAGGGTAATCCACCACCTCCGATGCAAGGCATCTGCTGCCAGCCACCTCACTTTTACTCCGATGACAGAAAATTAAAATCCCTGCTCCCCACCCTCACCCCCACTGCATCCTTTAGCTTCCCAAATGTCACAGCAGTGGCAAAGGCAACAACTTGCCGCCTCCCTCAGAGAGCTCAGATGCACCAGGCCACTGATCATCCTGGAAGAAAAGGCGGGCTTGAAGCTGTGTGCATCGGGTTGATGACACTGCTCATACTCTGAGGGAAAAAACCCGTTATGTGTGAAACAGCCGCCAGCAGCTAATGTGCCCGTGCACGTTAAGTCAGGAAAACGGTATCAGAACCCAGTTCCCTCGGCTTCCCCACCTGCCAGTGTTACCTTGGCAGAGGCAGCTCCACTTCCAAGGACCCTTCAGTCCGGTCATCGCTGTGCTCTAGATTCAGTGAGGCTGAAGCACACGCTTCCTCATCACTGTCTCCAAGCGCACTGTCTGAACTTTCGTTTCTGGGAATGTCTCCTTCCATCCTGAAGTTGGCCTTCCTGTCGGCATCCCCACAGGGGACATCTGCAGTGCCCGAGAAGCCAGAGTCCTGCTGTGCACACTTGCTTGGAACAGGCTGTATCAAAGGTCCTTCTATATCCTTCAAGTGCAAACGTCTTGGCTTCTCCAGCATCCTCGTTCCAGTTCCTGGCGCACTGCTGTCAGGTGCCAGCGAGTCAGCAGACTGGCTGGGCTGCCTGGCAGCATCTGCTACCACCTCAGTTTTCATGTCCCTGTCCTCAGCAAAATCCCTCTCAAATTCACCTTCATTCCTCTCACAGGATGGACTCTGAGGACAGTGGAAATTCTTCTGGAAGCCAGGTGTGAAGGAGCACCTAGAAACCGGCGGGTCCTGAGGCATGTCAGTGGTCGTCCCAGACGTAGCCGAGGAATGGCAGCCTAATTCTGGATAATGTCTACAGGCCATTAGCCGCTTCTCCATTCTTTTGGTGCGGCTTTCCAAGTCAGACTCTGGAGATACAGAGCTTCCAATCTGGAAAGTAACCTTTTCTAAGGGAGGTTTCTCCCGGGAATGTCTGTCAGGGCAAGGCCAGGCTGCTGACCGGTCTGCGAGTTTCTTAGGCATCTCCCTTCTCAACTCCTCACTGACAGTCTGCTGGCTGATCTTCACCCCTGCCCCTTGCCTTTCACAGCTGGACAGTCTTGAAGAGCCATCTCCTGGTGCCTCGTTTTCACTTTCTTCCTCCCCACAAAATGTTCCCTGAGGTTCCCAAGAGCTGTCCAAGGCTGGCTCTTGGAATCCCATGCTGCAGGCCTGAGAGCTCTGCTCTGGCCTTTTGTTTCCTTCTTTGTCAGGTTTGGAACCCAGGTCTCTAATGTCAGTGCCCTCTGGGGATACACCCAGCCCCTCAGACCTGGGGCTCCTTCCCTCAGCCATAGTAGGTGGTAGGAGAGGGGGAAGGAGAGCAGGCTCACTTCTCACCGTGACCACCACATACTCAGACTCCTCTACCTCTCCCCTCTCCAAGGCTGTGGTGATGTTGCTCCCGTTTAACACCTGGTCACCTTCACCGTGATTCCCACTCCAGGTCAGCTGGTTCTCTTGTAGCTCCGAGCAACGGAGAAAGTAGGTCAGGACATAAAGTATGCGTTGGACCAAATCCTTCTGCTTCCCCACCACAACGGTGCGAGTCAGCCTCACTGGAGAGCCAATGGCTCCGTAAAGATCACCTATAGAGCAAAACAGACACAAAGTCAAAGTCATCTGGGGCAAGGCAGGTCACGGATATGTCAGCCTTTATGAGAGAAGGACAGACAACTTACACTCCCAAATTAGAGTTGCTTCTCCACACAAACTGAGGCAAAAACTGGGTAATGACCATGTTTCAGTGTTGCCTCTCTAATGGGAAGTGTGCCTGGAAAGGCTAAGGCCCACTACTCTCGGGGCATGGGTATAGCACTGGTATACACAGCCCCTCCCTGTGCTTGTCAGGTCTTCCCAGCAGCTCACTGGACTGGCCAGCTCCCTCTAAAGCCAGCAGCCTCAACATGGGACCAAATCATATACTGTAAAGTAGAAACTAGAATGATGAGATTTCTTTTTTTTTTTTTTCCAGAAGAATTCCAGGACAATAGGCCTTGGGGTAAAAATCCAAATTCAGGGATCTCTGAACAAAAGTGCAGTGAATCAAATCAAAATACTTAATGAAAAGGATTGCTCCAAATTCCCTCAATACACACACACACACACACACACACACACACACACACACACACAACCCAAGCAGAATCAATCTGATTAACAAGAAGAAATCAATTAGTCATGAAAAATGAATCTATTTTCTATTACTTCACATGACAATTCTACTGGACGAAAATATGTCCCATAAGTTATATCCTGACAAGCTGATTAAAAACTACCTAATGAACCTCAAAAATTTAGCTTAAAGGGAGAAGAAGGCCAAATAAGGGCAAATGTGTCGATAAGCCCAGCAGTATAAGCTTTGCATCAAAAGTATTTAAGTGCCTATTGAAATTATTGCATTTGGTAATCTGCTTATTACATTTGATAAGTTGTACATTTGATGCTTTAATAATAACACTATTATAACAAAAAGCCAACATTTACTCACTGCGTAGGCACAATGCTAAGTGTTTCATTTTGTTTGTGCCTCTGTATAACCAGTCCTGAGCTAGAAACTGTTATGGGAATAATTAGAAGGCTGGAATAAATCAAAACTTGAAAAGATATTAAATAAAGGAAATAAGGTACATGGCTACAGTTATAAATAAGAACTCAGGAGGTTAAACTCATCTGAGGAATGCATCTAGAGAGGAGGGAATGCATTTTTATAAGGGCATATACTAGATAAAACTAACTAAATCAATAGACTAAGACAGGAAAAAGTGACAGGAACCATTAGGAAGTACCAGCTCTGGAGAGTGGTCCCTAGTGTAAGGCTACCGCTCCTGACCACACGCAAAGGGCAGGACACAACTGACTTTAAAGGATCCTGTCTATAAAAAAGACTATAGGCTAGCAGAGTTTTATCTTTGAGGCTTTTGCAACTGACAACTCAAGAATTTAAAAGAATAGCTCCAGACTGTAATCTGATGCTAGGACAAGTATTTCTGTTTGAGAAAACTTTCCTGACTGCTCACTGCTGCACGGTGTCAGAGTCATCTCAGGAATGCCTGGAGCCTTCCTGAGAATACCCTCCATCCCCTAAATCAGTCTCATGTTAATAAAAAAGATAACTATTACATATCTGAAACCTGGTACAAAAGAATCACAAAGAAAGGCCAACTAAGAATGACAGTATTATTTTTTAGCAATGCAGTTAACATTACAACTCATAAATGATAAAAAGAAAACAAAGAAAGCTATTAAAATAGAATTTATAATAATTTAAACTATATGAAGTAATGACAGCAATGTTGTGTGGAAACTGTGTTTTTATTTTAGGGTCAACTTTCATAATATAATGCATCATTTAAATAATAGGCCTATAATATTAAAGATTTACAGGATCCTGAACTGGAAGACAACATTTTGAGTCCCTGGGCTGACAAAGCTACTAATTTCAAAGTAGATTCCTTTGTTTTCATGCGTATAATTTTGCAAAATGAAAAGTTACACAACAGTGAGAATAAACAATACAACTGAACTTAGAAATGGTTAAGATGGCAAATGTTATGTTCTGGGCTTTTTTTAAAATCACAATTTAAAATAAAAATTTAAGGGGTGCTTGGATGTCTCAGTTGGTTAAGCATCTGCCTTCTGCTTGGGTCATGATCCCAGGGTCCTGGAATCTGGGATCAAGTCCCTACACTGGGTTCCTTGCTCAGCACAGAGCCTGCTTCTCCCTTTGTCTGCCCTGTGCGTTCTCTCTCTCTCTCTCCTTTACAAATTAAAAAATTTTTTTTTAATTTTCATTTATTTATTTGACAGAGAGAGACACAGCAAGAGAGGGAACACACAAGTAGGGAGAGGAGGAGAGGAAGAGGTAGTCTCCCCCTGAGCAGGGAGCCTGATATGGGGCTGCATCCTAGGACCTTCAGATCATGACCTGAAGGCAGATGCTTAACGACTGAGCCACCTAGGCACCCCAATAAATAAAATTTTTAAGAAATAAAAAAATAAAATGAAAATTGAACTTTTAAAAAGAGAGAAAATGAGAATAAGACAGAGTGGGGGAAAAGGGGTAAAAAAGAGTATCTTCAGGTGAAAGAGAAGCTAAAGGCAGAGAGTGCAGGGAAGCAGGAAGGGCCCTGGGTCTTCCCTGAGGAGAGACCCAAAGGGAAGGACACAAAAGGGCACCAGCAGGAAGGAGCAGGAGGGAGTGGGAAGGAGTGAGGAGGAGAGAAGAGCAGGTGGAGGAAGAGACATAGCTGGCCCAGAGAACAGAGAGGGAAGTCCAGAAAGAGGAGGGCAAGACAGAGAAAAGGGTTAGAAGGAGAAAGAGAAGAGGTGGGCAGTGGAGAGGTACAAATAACAGAGAACCTGAGAGAAGCAGAAAGAGGTAGAAGAGGTATGCAAAGCAGTGAAGGGGGGACAATTACAGAGGGGGGATGAAGAGGTGACAAGAAAAGGTATCGAGGGGATGGTGAAAAGATAGAAACTAGAAAGCTGAGAAACTGAGAATTTAGGAGCACTGTAAAGAGAGGGTGGTACATGGAGAGGGGGTGGGAGAGGTGGGGAATATGGAGGCAGAAATAGACGGAGGGAGAAACTGAGACAGAGTTTTAAAGGGCCACTTACTCCAAGACAATCTTCTAATAAATGTGCATATGCAACGAAGTTCCCTTTTCACAGAGTTTCCCCAATCCCATACACGGTCATTTACTGTATCTTTATTATTATTTAGTTCAAACTATCTTCTAATTTCTCTCATGAAGTATACTTTGGCTTTTGGGTTATTTAAACGGGTTGTTTAATTTCTGAGCAGGTGGGAATTTTCTCCCTATCATACATACAAATCATATATATTGATTTGTAGTCTAATTCCACTGCATTCTGAAAAATACAACTTAAACTTCAGCAGAAAATGAAAAATTTCAAACATTTTTAACTACATTAATTTAAACCAACAATCCCAAATGTTTTATGAGGAGAAAAGCTGCTTTTCATTTCCACATATTCTTGAGGTCATTAGTATCATAAAAGAGACCCGCACGGAACTCCTTCAACAGTGGCGAAAGAAAGTGGCTTTCAAACTACGCCTACCCATCCCAAGAGAGAAATGCATTTATACCAAAGCCTCAGTCACCCTCGGAAAGAAACATTTTACAAAACAGTATATGTGTCACTCTGATACGTTCTACTATATTGACCCTTTTGAATGTTTTTTTGACGCACTAAATTGCTTCTACAACCCACCAATGTCTGGTGATCCCTTTAGAAAGCCCATGTGCAGAGGGCTCCTGTGAGGCAGAGGTGAGGAGGAGCTCCCGGAGAGTAAGCCAGGGAGGGTGTGAAAGGGCCCAAGCGCTGGTTGCTTCCAGCTTTTCTCCTCCCTTCCCTGGGATTGCCAGGGAGCCAGGCAGAAGTGGGCATAGCAGTGGTACCGGTCCTGGCAAGCACTCAGATAAGCCTTGGAAATAATTCAAGATAAAGTCTTTTCTAATACTTAAGAACCGGGATTAAAATTACATCCACATCATTGTATATTCCCAGAAATTTATATTTTCTTCTTTACTGTGACTTGATATTTAGTGGAAATAATAATAATTGGAAGGACTCTCCTGTCAAATTACTGAAGCCTCTTGATTTTCTATAATAATGGAAACTGAACCATCATTTATACTTGACTTTACCACATGACTCTGTGTGAGGGTCTTAGCCCCTCTCACAACACTCGTCAACAGCCAAACCCCGGCTGGAATGTCTAGGGGTGGGAAGGATTGGAAACTTTCGATAATACATGACTTACGGCTCAGTTGCTTAAGTGTCTGACTATTAATTTCAGCTCAGGTCATGATCTCAGGGTTGTGAGATCAAGTCCTGTGTCAGGCTTGGAGCTCAGTGGGGAGTGTGCTTGGGATTCTCTCTCTCCCTCTTTCCCTACTTCCCCCACTCATGAATGAGTGCACTCATGTTCCCTCTCTCAATAAGTAAATAAAATCTTTTAAAAAAATAATACATGATCTACTACATGACTGTGAGACCATGGGAAGGGGACTTTGCCTTGTTATACTGAACACAGGGAATTAAGGGCTCTCCATTAGTTAAATTTAATGAGACACATGTCTAATTATAAATACATTTATCTAATTAAATGCAAACTGCTTAATTAGCATTGTTTTTAAATGGATGACCCAGCAGCATGAAACACCATGTTTCCTTAACATCAAGCCCCCTTCCCTTTGCCACTTAATGATACTACATTTTTTCAAGACTATTGTTCCAGGGGCACCTGGGTAGCTCATGTGGTTAAGTGACTGCCTCTGGCTAAGGTCATAATCCTGGAGTCCCAGGATCAAGTCCCGCATCAGGCTCCCTGCTCAGCGGGGAGTCTGCTTCTCTCTCTGACCCTTTCCCCTCTCATGCTCTCTCTTACACTCTCTCAAATAAATGAATAAAATTTTTTGGGGGAAAAAAAAGAGACTGTTGTTCCATAACAAGAACAACAATGCTCCATCCTCCCCAGAACTGTATAACCCAGAGTGAGGCACGCTCTGAGTTCTTTTCTGAGCTCAGTACTTTCTGGTTGTGTTAAATCCATTTTTAACATCCATAAATTCTTTAATTCAGTTAACATGTACCTATTACCCCCTATCTGTGAGACAAATTTTCTCTTTCTTATATCCAGGATACAAAAGTAAGACATCTTTATTATCTATAATGTGAGGATAATAGTAATAGGTTTGGAATGAGAATCTGATTAATTAATACATGTAAAAAGCACTAAGAACAATGGTTGGCTCACAGTGTCAGTTTTCATTATTGTTATTACAACATGCTATTTTCTAGTAGAGTGCGCCTCCCTTGTCTGTACTTCTGAAAATGTCATTTAAACATTTCCTTAAGTATGCTTTCCTTGAAAATACCCTCCATCCCCTAACTCTGTCTCCTGGTGCCCGTCTATGTCAATATTCTGACCAGCAGCATAAATAACAAAAGTACTCTATGTAGAACTAATTTCCACAGCAAACATTTCATCCCATTTTACAGATGAAGAAACTGAGGCACAGAGAGGTTAAGTCACTTGCCCATGGAGACTGGATTTGATTTATGCAGTCTGGCTCTGGCTCCCTTGCTCTTAACCTTCACACTATACTGTCTCTCTCTTGCATCCTTCTACACATTTCTATCAAAGGAGTAATCAGGATGTTCTGAGATTGTCTAAATACAAATCTGCCACCTCCATTAGGCTACTAGCTTAAGGAGTCCATCCTTGAGAGCAGTGGTTCTCAGCCAAGGAGTGTCTTGCTGCCCAAGAACAATGTCTGGAGAAACTTTTGATGGTCGTAACTCTGAAGGGGGTTCTTCACTGGAAGCTAGTGAACAGTGCTAAACATCCTACAATGTTTAGCAAGACAGACCCCCTCCCATCCCCCCGCCCCACAACCCTGCCCCAAAAGAATGATCTGGTCCAAACATCAAGGAGGCTAAGCTTAAGAAACCCTGCTCCAGGGTGAGCTGCCGCTGTAGTCCGGGAGAACCGTTTGCCTGTACTGTGCTTCGGCAGAGCACAATAAAGCTGCCAGCAGCGGGAAGGAGAGGAACAGACAGACTTAAACAACTAGAATCTGTGGACCAATCTCCTACTTTCTGTCCACCCAATGACATCTCCTGCATCGCCAGGATGGAGAGCCTTTTTTGTGAATATTTTCACAAAAAAACTGGAGCATTTTCTCCATTCCCTCCCATCATGTCTCTGAATAGGTACTAACCCAGCTGTGCCCAGAGAGGGTTATACGGATGTGTCTTGGCCAGCGTGTTCACGGACTGAGAGGTGCGTTTCTCTGAGAAGGCTTTAATGGGAGGATGATCAACAGGCATGACGGTTGGTACCCAGGCCAGGTGGTAGGTTAACACTGCAGTCAGTAAGGCAGCAAAAAACCTTGGAGAAATGGAAGAAAATACCACCACATGAGCCCATGCAGGAAGCAGCATGTCACGTGCAGTACATACACTGACCACGGAAGCTGCACCCAAGGCTCCAGAGTTGACACTTACTGGTTTTTGTTGATCTGTTCTATCAGAAGTGTGAATTCCTTGAGAAAGCGCTGGCATAGATGGGTTTTTTCCAAAGTGCTGGACATCATGGTAAGCCATACAGGTTCAGCTATCCTTGGAACAGAATACAAGTTCCAGATCGTTCCTCTACAGAAGAGAAAAGGGATATACAAAACTGTCACAGCTATCATTTTGGGTGATCATAATCTCTTCATAAAGGAATAAAGACGAAAACAATAATGTGAATCTATGCAGCCTTTAAGGGATTCAAGCAGTATATAAGTCAGGGATCAGCCAACTGTGATCCACGAGCCAAATCTGACCACCACCTTTCCTGTAAACAACATTTTATTGGGACGCAGCCATGCTCATCTATTTACATATTCTCTCTGGCTGCTTTTGCATAATGACAGAGGCACTTTAGAGAAAAGGTATACTAACCCATGATATAAAATATTCATTTTTAAAGCAATTTATTTTCACAATACCTAGTATAGAACTTTACGACCATTCTTTTTTAAAAAGATTTTATTTGTTTGTCACAGAGAGAGAGAAAGAGTGCACATAAGCAGGGGTAGTAGCAGGCAGAGGGAGAAGCAGATTCCCCACTGAGCAGGGAGCCTGACGCGGGACTTGATCTCAGGACACTGGGATCATGACTTAAGCCGAAGGCAGACACTTAACTGACTGAGCCACCCACGAGTCCTGACGGCTTTTCTTATAGTAAAGAAATAAAGGAAGAAAGAGAGTATGTACTACATCAAAAATGTGACTAAAGGCAACTCTACACTCCCAATTTGGTGCTTTAGTTCTCTAAACCAAAGCATTCTATTCATTTCAAATGGAAAAATTATGTAAGTGGCTCTTGTTCACTATAATATATGCCGAGTTTTTATAAGCACTAACAGAATCAAATTCTTAGAACTATAAGCTATTACCAAACTGACTAATATGGCTCAATAACTTTACAGATTCAGAAACAGGCCTAGAGAAATTAAGTTACTTGCATAAAAGCTTGAACAACAAGGTCAGGAGGACTTCAGGTCTTCCAACACCTGGTGCCAAGGGTTCTATTGCGAGGTCATGATGCACAAGTGTTTTTCCAAAGAACACACTAACTTAGCTTAGGATCTCCACTGGAGAATACATCCACTTCAAATGAAAAGAGCTGAGACATATTCTGATTTGGTTTTCTAGCTGTGTGCCTATTGCTTCTCGGCCTTTTGGCTAAGATCAAGAGTCTAGCTGTGTGCCTGAAAGAATTGAGACACAGTAGAATTCCACCTTGGCCAAAAAACATTTTGCTGAGTTAGGTAGCAAAGACAAGTTACAGTCACATGGAACAGGAATTTCTTTACTAAAACTAAGGTCTCCAATTGATAACACTTTTGTCACCATTTCTGGAGAGGAAGATCACTGAAGTAAGAATAAGACTGGTCTATGAACAAGTGAGGTTCTCTGGCTCTGTACTTTCAGATTCTTGACCTCTGAAAAATTAATACTTTCATTAAACTAGCACAACTTCACCCTATTTCTCAACTATATGACTTAGGTCTTGACAATCACCAGATAATGACTTATGTGTTATTTGAGTACTTTATACATATAACCCAGGGTTCAAAAACTACTGGGGATTTTGCTCCAAGAAGCATTATAGAATTCATCTTAAGCATCAAGAAAGTGTTCTAAAATTCTAAGAACTACAAAAAATATTTTTATCCTTCAGCTACAGAATAACAGTTTGGCTCATTAGCTCATGACCCATTTGGAGTGTGATTCCACTCCCCATCGAGAAACTGGCTCAAAGAAATGGTGTGAGAATCCCAGCTCAGCACGATGAAGGAGAACCCCACCCCCTATACTACACCTTCCTATCCAGATATTAGGAGCAAGGACTATAGAAAACCAGTCTCTGGAGTACAAAGATCATGAATGAGAAACTGAAAATGAAGACACACAATTGTGGTTCAGACCAGGACACTGAGGATAGGACACTGAGTAGAAACACAGATCGTCCTGGCTGACTGGAAGATCTACATCCCTGACATAGATACTCTCCAGCTACCCTGTGGATAAGCAGCCCTGAATCCATGTTTCCACATCCGTAGCATGGGGCTAGTTAATCGTGCTTACTCCTAGGACTTTTGTGAGGAGGACATGAAATAATGAACAGGCTTGTAAGAGAACCTAAATAATAGTTTTCTCTATTCATCCTGTTAAAAGCAATCAAGGACTGGATGACAGGCAGCAGTGTGGATTACACAGTGGGGAGTGACCCAAACTTTTTGCTCCAATTGGTCTGGATTTCCACCTTGGGGGAAGGAGCTACCAAAGTGAGTACTAACTGCCAGTCCCACAATTCTTCCAAGTAATGGTCTCTGGGTATCCCCAGATCCATGGCTGCCATGGCTACAGCCACTTACAAGCTACCTTCGGGGATTTGCCAGATGCTGCCAACGCACCTGAATTCTCCCAGAGCTTCCATCAGACGGCTGACATAGAACTGGACACGCAGACTCGATTCTGCTATCTTTCTGCAGGAGATCATGGCCTACGTGGAAGAGAAAACAAACCAATTTGCTCTCTGAGAAGAGATTCCTTTGTAACTGTCCACTACTGGGATTTTATTTTATTTTATTTTATTTTATTTTTTTTAAAGATTTTATTTACTTATTTGACAGAGAGAGATCACAAGTAGGCAGAGAGGCAGTCAGAGAGAGAGGGGGGAGCAGGCTCCCCGCTGAGCAGAAAGCCCGATGTGGGGCTCGATCCCAGGACTCCGGGATCACGACCTGAGCCGAAGGCAGAGGCTTTAACCCACTGAGCCACCCAGGCGCCCCTACTGGGATTTTATTAACAAAAAATATTATAATCAAGACATTCACTGTGGTAATGACTTCAGGCATCACGAAGAAGTGATCTCCTTTCCTAAAATACTATAGTTCTGATATCTGATATCAACATGCCTAAGGGTCTATTACTGTTGCAGACAATTTAACTTCTCTAAAAAAGTGATTGGATACATAAACCATGAGATGTTAACCACCTTAAAGCGCCATGATCATGTCTCTATTTGACTCTAGAACTACATTCTTATTACCTTTTCAATGGCACTCTTCAACCTGTTCATGTGAGATTCAAACAAGGGAAAATGAGAAAAAAAGAAGTCCTGGAAATTCCTTTGTGCCTCTTCTCTCTCACACAGAGAAAAGATGATGCTTATGGCAATTTTCTTCCTCCGAACTATGGCTGGATTAGAACTGCAGGTTTCTTCAGCTAGGCTGAATGTCTCATCCATTGACCTGAAGGAAAAATAAGTTTGAAAAGTTGCCATGCCTCCAAGAATCGCATTGAGGATAAACTGTAATGCCAGGGGATGACATTCAGAAAGCGAACCCAGAACACCCAGAGTCTTAACCAAGAGTTTGTCTGCTTCCAATTCATTCTCTTCTCTAATTCTCTGTCATGATAAATGAAAACATCAACTTACCACATGGTATTTTCTTTAAAGATTTTTTTTTTTTTTTTTTTTGACAGAGAGAGAGATCACAAGTAAGCAGAGCAGCAGGCAGAGAGAGAGGGGGAAGCAGGCTCCCTGCTGAGAAGAGAGCCCGATGTGGGGCTCGATCCCAGGACCCTGAGATCATGACCTGAGCTGAAGGCAGAGGCTTAACCCACTGAGCCACCCAGGCGCCCCACCACACGGTATTTTCTAACACGAAAAGAAGTTTAAATAAAACCTAAAAGTAACTTCGAATGTCCTCCTGTTAAGTTCTTAGTCTTTTCCCCTTGGATTATTTCACATCGGACTGGTGGTATTTAGAGAGCAGGGAGATACATCTGGTCACTCAAAACACAGGCCCTTTGTTTTGGTTGAGAGATACCAATAGACAGAAACATTAGAAGGGAAATGATCCTGAGGTTTTCTGTTTAACCAGTGCATCATGTTTGGAAATTTACTCATGGTTGAGGCTTACTTTCCCAAGGCTATTAAAACCATTAGATGAAGTAAGTCTGGTAAATGCTCAGATTAAGCCATGCAATTGATTAAGCTCTCTGGGAAATCCCCCAAGCAGAAAGACATATCTCTCGGCTGGGTAGTCAATGTCTCAAAAAAAACTTAAGATTCTTTTGAGAGACTCTGCTTCTATGATAAGGGAATCGTGAAACCAGTAAATTATGGGTATGTTCTCAATCTGTCTTAAGGGGTAAGACTCAGAAATACGGTCTAACCCTGTCTCTTACAGAACTATTTTGAAAAACCAGCACTACCACATAGCTACTAATAACGAAAGTGAAAATAATTTTTTTTTTTTTTTTTGTACAAAGATACCAAAAGCAAAGTCCATAATACATCGCACATGAAAGCACCTTGCCCGGCACACAGGAGGTATACAATTCATTTTCTCTTTCTCACCGACTGTCACCATTTAGTCTCGGATCTCCACTGAATATGGGAGGGTACTGCTTCCTCTGTTTTCTTTACCACAAATTACCAAAAAACAATTATTTATGCTTGGCAGAACTCAATGCCTCCATACTCCTGATATTAAACTTATTTGCTGCTCTACTACTCACAGTCTATAACGTTACTGTGATTTTCACATATCCATAGCTTTGAAAACATGCATACATCAGATGTTTTATGGTCAAGAAAGCCATTTTACTTTTGAAGGAAAGGAGAGAGACATCTTGTTCTAAGCTCAAAAAGGACATGCTATTGTTTTATTCTCAACATTAAGCAAGATCCCCGAGATGGAGATGTGGTTGATAAATCAGTAACAGGCTCTCACTAACAGACATGCCATGGGCAGGACATGATCTCCAGGTGCTGTTGTAAATGCTGTGCACTCTAGTAAACCATCAACTGTTTTTTCTGAAAAATTCCTAGATCTTAATTATCTGCTCATCAGATAATTAAAATTATCTGATCAGAAAAAAAAATCTTGAGCCTCTCTTAGAATTTTACTTAATTTCGTACAGTGAAATTTCATATGGTGAATATTCGTCTTTCCCAAAGTAACTGTAGTATAACTTTGTTTTTTGCACCAGTTTATTTCTATTTTATATAGGAAGTTCTGAGCTTATATATGGCCAACATTTTCTTGCAACATCTTTTTTTTTTTTTTTGGTCTGGCATCTATTTTTCTTCTTTTTCGAAACTAAAATGACTGTTTCAGTCCGTTCATCTTCAGCCAACGTGATCCTTAATAATGAAATTGTAATAAACACTTAACCCTATGCAAGTTTATGCACCATCTCTCATAAACAATAGCTGACTCTATTTTAATGTAGCAGAGAGTGCCACCTACTGCATTTCTGAAAAACTTCCATAGCTACAACAACGTGGATAGCTCTTCCTCGCTTTGCTGTACCTGTCTACCGAATTCCAAAGCAACTGAGCTTCATTCTATAGTCTTACAAACCAGAATACATCAGTTCACAGAGTATTATATTTTTAAAATTATTCCACAATGAAAGAATGTTTCAGAATCTTTTAAAACACTTGAGTATGCAACCCAATACGTCATCATCTCTTCACCCACAGGTCACCATGTAAGGTACATAGGCCTTTCTGCAAATGTGGGAACTGAGGCAGAGTGAGTCATTAACTTGCCTCAGGAATAGAAAACTTCTCAGTAACAATGTTGGAGCTAGAACCCAGGGTTTCTGTCTTCTAAGCTAGGCTTGTTTCTGGATGTTGGAAACGAGCAGGGTCCGTGCCCTGTGTCTGATTGGTCTTCTGGTCTTCACGCCATCAGGTGCACCCTGCCAGTGGGAGCACTCAGAAGAAATAGCTGGGAGTGATCATGTCAGCTGGCAGGACTTCAAGTCAAGGAAAGACCCCTGCTACATACTTAAGCTTTCTCCTTACAAAAAAATCAAATAGCATTTTGCTGACACTTACGGATAAGCATTTACATGCATTACTTTTACCTCGAGATCATAAGCAAAGCAAAAACTGTGATTATTTAAGTAATCTCAAGAATTTATAAATGATATCAGGACTTATAATTGATATCAGGCTTAGTCTAATTGTTTTTGTCAGCTTTGAACTTCATCTGAATCTATGTATTATATTGGAACATAGGAAATTGCCATTTTTGTAGGTCAGAGAACAAACCTGCAGCAACTTGGTATGGTTGGTTCAATATAATAATCCAAATCAAAAGCTCCTCTGAGTGTAAAGCTCCTTTATACCTTGGTCCTTCAGGTCGCCTCACTAAGGGATGAAATCTTTGCAGTTTCTCTTCTATTATAGGCGATACTTCCCTACCAGTTGGTAAATGCCCAAACTGACTCCCTATCCAGTAGCCAAAATTTACCACTCAGCACAGCAGGGGGCCTGGAGACAGGAGTATCCAGTGTGGGACTAACTGTTCAGTACTGTGAAATCTTCCTTTTTACCTCTAACTCTCTTAGGAAGTTTCTGATTACTGTGGATTTTCTCTCAAAGCCAGAGGCAACCATATTTCTGGTACCTGCTCTTCTTTTGTCGCACATCAAAAATTTTCCTACCTGCACACCTGCCAAAAGTAAGAGATCAACTGCAACATCTTTAAATGAAGGGATCTTCACAGGCGTAGTGATCAATTCAAAATATCAGCCGCACTTACATTCTCTGTGTGCCAGCTTCATGGGCATGAGACCCCACTCACACAGAGCCCCGTTCCCAGATGGCCCCAGGCTTGATTTAATGCTTTGCAGTTACCATCTCGGATTTTTAGTAGTTTTATCTTTCAGCCTGTATTCTGGAAGTGAAATCTGATGGGACAATGAAGCATGTGAGTGAGCAGTGAAGATACCAGGCTGCAGAGTACACAGTGGGCTCAGGCCTAAGGGCATGCAACCCAGACGCTGAGCAACTGGCTGAGCAGTTAGGCGCACACCCACGTGTCTGAAAAGCCCAGGGTGCCAGGAGGCCCCAAGCCGGCAAGACCAGGACTGGAGCCCAGACTGGTAGCTGGGACAGCAGCAGCAGAAAGAGCAGTGACCACAGGCACGGGAGAGAGAAAGGGCTTGGGTAGTGGTGTGACCCATGGTGTGAGGCTAGCTTACCCATCCATCACTGGAATCTGTTCCTATAGAGCGTGCACAAATATTTAACTCTCTGACCCAAGCCCCAAAGACAGTAAATTATCACAAAGAGCCTACAGTGGACATCGCAATCAAACATATCCAGGAATAACCAGAATTCTTCAGTTTATCATCTCCAGTTTTGAAAACTATTGCAACATTGCAAAGTAAATATCTACAGGCATAGAAACAAATTAAATGTAAACATTGTTGTACTGGACAGAAAAAAAAAAAACCCTACTATTTTCATATGAAGCTTCGGATAAACTATTAACAAGGAAGTCCACTCTAAAATTAATTTTCCTTGTAACTGAAGATGCAGTGATAGAATGCGAACACAGGCATTCTGAGTCATATACAACTCGTGAAGACACTTTCAGTTGCTTGCAAGACCTCTATGAGTTACTCAAAATGTCAGAGGAGACATTAAAATAAGTTTGTATAAATTTACATTTAAAATTAAATTCAGCCTTACACAAAATGGATTTGTGTGAAGAATAAAACCTTTTTAGAAAAACTGTTCCACAAGAATCATCAGATCTAGATGTACTGAAATTTGTATTTTGAAAGTTTATCAGAAACTTAATCCAGTGTTTTCATAATCCATAAAGTTCCAGTAAAGGTTATATCAGCAGAAAGATCTTTCTTACAAAATTGTCAAAAAATTACTTGCCATCTTGCATTTGCTAAGAGTGATTAATGCTGCTTTCAATTATATCAATTGAAAGCAAAGTTGCTAAAAACTATAAATTTTGATAACCTAACAAATGAAGCGAGAAAAGAAAGCCAGAAAAGTCTTATGATAAATCAAGACATAGCATTATTTATTATATTATATAAAATTACGATACCAAAATACTATTTCTTGCAATTTATAAGTTTGTTTTATTCATGTTTCATTATTATTCTATTACATTTTGTAAGTAAAATATTTTTAATGGAAAAACTTTACATTTTAGTACCTTTAATAGCACTCTTCTCCACTTTTTGAACAAAGGCGTTCTGCATTTTCATTTTTGAACCAAAGATATTTATTTTAGGTGTAAGTTTTGTAGAGATTCTTTAGTTTCCAAAGCCACATCTCAATTCAAATTAAAGTTCTGAAGAATTTTCAGAGGAGTGGATTGAAGAATGCTATTCAACTTTGGATTTAAACCTGAAGGGATGGGGCATCTGGGTGGCTCAGTCAATTAAGCATCTGCTTTGGCTCAGGTCATGATCCCAGGGTCCTGGGATCAAGCCCTACATCGGGCTCCCCCCTCAGCAGGGAATCTGCTTCTCCTTCTCCCTCTGCCTGCTGCTCTGCCTACTTGCGCCTCTTTCTCTCTGTCAAATAAATAAATAAATAATCTTTAAAAACAAAAAACTTGAAGGGATAGAAAAACATTTTTAGTAAAGAAATGTCTAAAGGGAAGGCTTCTATGACTCATCATTCTCTTTAATCACAGAAGCTGTTTAAAGGACAGTGAGGATGGTGGGATGCCCTCTCCTGACAACTGCAATGATGGCAATGATAATGATGGCAATAATAATTGTAAATAAGTCCTACTGACCAATATTTTCTTTACTTATCTTATCCTAGCTTGGCTTGACTTGCTGTATCTCATTTAACTTTCCCAACAACACTGTGAGGCTGCTACTAGTACAATGATCATAATGCTGATGAGGAAGCAACACTTTGAACCCAGATTAATTCACTGTCGGTACATCTAGTGAGTGGCAGAAGTAGGACCTGCTCTCGGACCAAATTCCAAGCTCCTGACCATTCTACTCAAAGCCCACCAACCACAAAGCAGTTCCTTGATGAGTGAAGCAGCTCTATTTTTCTCTCTTGGTCGAGCTTGCTAGGATTGTGAGAACAACAGAAGAGAGGCAAGCAGCCTGACCCATCATATACACACGCCCTGACCCTCGCCTCTCAGCTTGTCCTTTAAGCACCATCTCTCCCAAAAAGGGAATCTCCAATTCCCCACCTAACAATGCAAGTGTTCTCTCCCTCCACTGAGTCCCAAGGCACTTGATGACCCCCCCCACCCTGGCTCACGGCATTTATAGTTTAACATTTTATTGCTATTATTTATGTGTGTATGGTCTACCCCACTAGTCAATAACCTCTATTAATGGTCCCCAGATGCAGGTATATATCTGGATCATCTTTACACCCTCACAGACCCCCTACACTCAGTGATTACCAGCCTACACACCAAATCGAACAACTGACATGTGAATCTTTATAGGTACAACCCATGTTAATTCTCTTTTTAGGTTTTGGGTTATAGGGAGAAGGAGGTGGAAGCTACTGATGTAATATCATAATAAGCCAAACTGTGTATTTTGCAAAACAACCAAACTTTAAATCTAAAATTCAACTGCAATGAAGGCAGAATATACCTCGATGCTGTCTTTATAATCAGATTCATGACCATTTCGTTTAAGAATTTAAGTTTTATGAGAAGAGTATGCATGTTACAATCCTTGCGTTCATATGTTTTCAAAGACCATACTGGTGTCACAGTAAGCTGAGGAAGAGATTTATTTCAACCCTCTAACTCAAGAGAGCTACATCTGGAAGGGAGCCAATTCAAAGAGAGAGGAAACTCTTTTTTTTTTTTTTTTTAAGATTTTATTTATTTATTTGACAGAGAGATCATAAGTAGGCAGAGAGGCAGGCAGAGAGAGGAGGAAGCAGGCTCCCTGACGAGCAGAGAGCCCGATGCGGGGCTCGATCCCAGGACCCTGAGATCCTGACCTGAGCCGAAGGCAGAGGCTTTAACCCACTGAGCCACCCAGGTGCCCCGAGGAAACTCCTTTTAAATTAACACCAAATCTAGCTCGTACATGGCACAAAGACCCAGATGGTTCCCAGCGTCTTCCAAACCAGACTGGTTTTCAGCTTTTATATTTATTGATTTATAAAACTTCTAATTTACCCATTTTCAGCCTAAGCAGAAGCTAATCCAGCAGTCTGGGTTTTTTCCCCACTGAAAACAGGGGAGTCCTGCCAGTTTGTTTAAGCGGTCTACAACCAGCACCTTTCTGAGCAAGAGCAAACTTGTAACTCACCTCCTTGGAATGATGCCATTTTCCAAACTTGTTGTCTGACTTCGAAGCCAGCGGCGCTGGTAACTGCTGGAAGAGGATGTAGAGGAGCTTGGAGATGGAAAAGGTGTAATCAAAAGGCTGCTTAGTGAGGCTGTGAGGAAGAAAAGTAGAAAGTTGAAAGTTGAGGTAAATGAATCCTCACGTAGCCACACAAAAACATGTGTGCCAAGTGACCTAAATTTTTCGGTTCTACCAGCCATGTCCAGCAGGGGGAGACTACAACTCCTCTCTTACTAAGACTTTTGGACGGCAAAAAAACATCTTTTAAAAAGGAAAATAAATTTGGGGCGCCTGGGTGGCTCAGTGGGTTAAGCCGCTGCCTTCGGCTCAGGTCATGATCTCACGGTCCTGGGATTGAGCCCCGCATCGGGCTTTCTGCTCAGCAAGGAGCCTGCTTCCTCCTCTCTCTCTGCCTGCCTCTGCCTGCTTGTGATCTCTGTCTGTCAAATAAATAAATTAAAAAAAAAATTATTTTAAAAAAAATAAAAAAGGAAAATAAATTTAAAAAATAGGGATTACAGATGTATCAAATGCATCAATTATCAGGCCCTACATTACAAAGGCAGCATAATTATTACTCACTTAACCAGAATGCAGATTTCTGATAAAAATGGTCCACATAGCATAACCGTTTATATTGTTACCCGATAACCAATGTCATACACAGTGTTTATTTACACTATTTTCTCCTCTTAACTACTTCTTCACTCCTATTTTGAAGTGAAATCTAGGCAAGTAAGTAGTTCCTCCACAGAGTATCCTCCCTCCTATCCCCTATCTCTAAATACACAATACTGATCTTCCTTCCCTCCAGCAACCAGCTTCCCCATTAACCCATCACCACTCCCTTGGCTGTGAAAAAGCATCCTCTAGCCTTAAATATATTTTCTGCTTGGATTACTTATTTGCCTCAGGGCCTCTCTCTGCTTCTCTCTGCTAAATAGTATTAGATGCCTATGCTTGGGCTCTCAGTGTGAGCTGACCTGCCAGCCCAGACTTCTCTAACAGGCAGGGAGGGATTGGTCCCTTTCATGGTAGGCAAAGGGATTCTTACAAATCAGAGCTGCTTGATTGATGTCTACTAGTTTGGAAGAATAAACGAAGGTGACAGACGTTTTTCCTTTTACTTTCCTCAGGCTAAGGAATTAGACATTGAAATGTCACTCAGTCTAGTGGAAAAGGAAATGGGGTCCAACTGAATGCTGGTCAGCGTTTTCAGAAGCAAACCACAGGACAAAGGAAATTGATTTGAGCACACATAGTATACTATGCTTATGGATATCACTTGATAAGGCATTTCCCCATATGAAGTGTTACATTTTAATTTACACTTTTATAGGCAGATGTAAATAACCTGACTCCCTGACCTGATTTCGTAAATATGGTAAGAGTTACTTGGCTGTTACTCAATTCTCAGTAAGCAAATGCTGGAGTGTGTACAATGTGCCAGGTGTTGTGCCAGGCCACTGGGATGCAGTGGTGGGCAAGACAGACACACATTTGCCTGCACGGAGCTTCAAGTCTCTGTGAATAGCAGTGAACTTGCCAGGCTACAAAATTAGATGCAAAATGGCTCAAGGTTCTTTCCACACCAGAGGTATATTGAGACGCTTTTCTTCTAATCTAGTCAATATCCGTAACAAATTTGTTTGGAAGATCTAAATTATCTATGTACTCCTTGAATCCAGGACAGCTCCCTGGATAACTTAATAAAGCAATTAATGAATACTTAGTAAATGTATGGCACTTCTTCACTAAAGTATTGCCCAGATGTGGCTGACCCCAACAGGTTGCCTTTGTTCTGATCTGGTTTCACCCTTTGAAGCTGACTTAAATCTCCAAAAATCAAATCCATATTTGAAATATCAGTGGTGGATAATTTCACTGAGAATTGTGAAGGGAGACAAAAGAGAGTTTTTCCTCAAAACCACACAAAATTACTTAAAAAAAAATGTCAACTAGACATTTGTGCCCCACCTCCAAATTCTAAAAGTCCCCCATGAGTTACACAAGCTCTTCATTCCCTATGCCTAAATCTTCAGGGTCCCCTGTCTCTCTTCCTATCTTATGCTGGTCAAATCAACTTCTTGGCAGGTGGAGGACAGGGCTGAGGGGTAGTAGTACTTGTATGATAAACATCTTTTCCCCTGTCACAGAAGCAAGATGGAAATGACTCTGAGGGCCAAATTTATTCTGGAAATTGTATGTATTGCTGTATAATTCAGTTTAGTAAACTGAGTAAGAACCCCGGCTCCCAATTCAAATCCTGGCTCTGCCACCCACCAGCTATAATACCTGGGCAGTTTACTTAACCTGTCAGCCTTCTCATCTGTAAAATGAGGACAGTAAAAGCATCACACCTCAGGATTTTCATGAGAACTGCAATCAGCTAGTGAGTTATGAATTATTTAGTGAACCAACACCAACATTTAAAAGAAAAGAAAACAAGAGTATATTGCAATGCTAATATTAATTGATGAAATTTTTGTTATATATAAAGATGTTTGTTACTGGATCATAATATAAAATGCATTAGCATGAATTGCAGTCAAAAGAAAAGTCTGAGAAGCACTGACCTATTTCATAAAGTTCCTGTGAGGATTAAACAAATCAATACACTTAGCCCAGTGCCCTACACAATAAATGCTGGCTATTGACTCCCTCTGATAATTCTTGGAACAGGAAAACTAAGTAAGACATTTCAGAGTACTAAAACATTATTAGTTCTGATTAGTTAATCATGAAAACAACCTGGGACTTGTAATAGACACATGAAAGGGAAAGGGAAAAAAATTAATAAAAAAACAGAGATATTCCTTCTTTCATTGTAAAATCCTGAATAAAAATTTGTAAGGTATACAAATGAAATACTTAGCTAAAGTGCTGGTTTAGAGCTACCCAGCACTTCCTTATCAAAAGTATTTTAGTATTATTTAATATGATTTTTACATTAACATACTGTGGTATATCATTATCAGTCACATACTCTAGGAAGCAAAACAGTCGGTAACTCTCAAGTGGAAGAACAACTCTCAAGCTTAATTTTGGCCTCTAACTCATTGTCACTTTCATGAGAAAGGGGTGGATTCAGGTATCTGTCCCACTAACATTTAGTGCATTTGATGGTTGGCTAGACTCTTCTGTATCTTCTGCAACTTTGACAGACACCAGTCTATGTGTATTTGGAAACAATCCTATCACAACAAAAAAAATATACTAATGTGATGAGGCCCCTTATTTCCTCTCCAAGCTCATCATACACCACTCTCCCCTTCCTATATTCCAGCCTTCTCTCTATTCCTTATACACAAAGCTCCGAAACCTGTTTCCACTCTGGGTCTCTGCACTAGCTGTTTGCATGCCTAAAATGCTCTGTGCTCTGATCTTCATGGAGCCTGTTACCACCAGCAATCCAGCCAGCTGAATATTTCTCCTTCTTGAAGAGGCCTTCCATGATCATCTCATATCTTTTATTTTCCTCAGTGATAAGTGCTTACCTACATTTTACTGTCTATGATTTGTGTTTCCTTTATTGAATATAAATTCCATGAGATCAGGGATCATGTCCATTTGATCAGTGATCTATCCCCATATCCTACAAAAATGCCTGGTACATAAGATGTTCAAGAAATATTGCTGCATGAAGAGTGAGCAACGATTATGTGAAGGACAATGACATCTGTCTCGATCGATAATTATGACAGAAACAAAGCATTAGAAAAACAAATTTCTAGGAATTCCAAGTCTGAATTTGAGGAAAGTTTCCAGTGGTCAAAGCTATATACACAGCATTTGGATTTTCTCTTTTTCCTCTTACCTTCATTTTAAAAAATTCTTTTTTTGTTTTGTTTTATGGTGGTGGTGGACAGCAGTGGTGTAGCTCTGAACCTGAACACTTTCTCTGCATGAAAGAGGGTACTACATCCAAAAGACAGGAATGATCTTTTTTACTGTAATACTGACAGTATTTCCCTTAGAGTTTTTGCTTATTTAAACACTTGAGAAGTATAAGGTTCCTTAAAGTTTAACAGCTATATTCCTCAACAAAAGAATAGAAGCATTTAAAAAGATCAATTAATAGAGCTGTGATTATTGTCTGATAGGCGAATGCCATTTTTTTTGAGGATGCCATTTTTAACAAACCGAATACATTACTAGGCAAATAAAAGTTAATACATTGTAGTTAGAAATCACAGAGTAATTTTAAGACTATAAAGGGCCCTTAAAAGCATCTCAGGAGGGGCGCCTGGGTGGCTCAGTGGGTTAAAGCCTCTGCCTTCGGCTCAGGTCATGATCTCAGGGTCCTGGGATCGAGCCCCGCATCAGGCTCTCTGCTCAGCGGGGAGCCTGCTTCCTGCTCTCTCTCTGCCTGCCTCTCTGCCTACTTGTGATCTCTCTCTCTGTCAAATAAATAAATAAATCTTTAAAAAAAAAAAAAAAAAGCATCTCAGGAACTTCAACTTTTAATAAAATTCCCACAAACTCCCCTTAATGAAAAGACAAAGAAAATACCCTCACCGTGATGATTTCCAAACACCTTAATTTTTTAAAAATAGACTTTATTTTTTAGAGTAGTTTTAGGTTGAAAAAAAAAAAAATGATTGGAAGGTCCAGAGATTTCCCTCTATAGAGCCCCTACTCCCCTGTGATCAGCCTCATTCACCAGAGTGGTATACTTGTTACAACTGATGAATCTACACGGAAACATAATTATCACCCAGAGACCATACCTCACCTTAGGGTTCACTCTTAGTGTTGTACTCTCTATGAGTTTGGACAAATATATAATGACATGCACCCACTACTACAGTATCAATCAAAATAGTTTCAGTTCCCTAAAAATCCTCTGTGTTCCAACTATTCATCCCTCCCTGCCCTGTCCCCAGGGAGACAGGGACCCCTGATTTTTTTACTGTTTCCACAGCATTACCTTTTCTAGAATGTCGTACAGATGAAATCATGAAGGACTGTAGCCTTCTCAGATTGGCTTCTTTCACTTAGTGATGTGCTTTTAAGTTTCCTCCATATCTTTTCATGGTTTGATAATTCATTACTTTTCAGCACTGATTTTATACTTCATTGAAAACATCT